CATGCAGCGTTAAGCCAAATAATCGTTCGTCTAAAAAGAGGACATATTCAACGATTTCTCTTTCTTGGACCTAATCGTTTTTCGGCTGCACATTCAGCAGAAATGTTTTTCTGGCGAGCTTTCCTGTAGCCCATACATCCTTCCAAAACCTCAGATATAGCTGCGGTCATACTTTCCTGGGACCAGCTTTGTCTGTTTGTTTTTTCCACATAGTTGCGAAGGTATGTCTGTAATAAAAAATCGAAATGAAAAAAAAAAGAACAACACAAAAACTGAATATTATTTCTTTTTTGAATATAGATTAGGTGTCAATAATATGCACGTAAGCAAAAGAAACATAATAACTTTATTTTATAGCAAAGTTTTATTATTTTACAAATATTTAGCAAAAGATACTGAAGATACAACAAGATACCTGTCAGCCAAAACCAGGAAGTCCTGATTTTGCCCAACGGTGTACGTCCCGGTTTTTCCCCACACTACATAGTAAGAAAAAACATGGTGTCAACAGAACTAACGATACGTTGTAGAAACCACTAATATATTAAAACTCGCCTTATACACTATTAGTGATAATGGTTAATTTACCTAAATGTTTCCGTCGAAAATAAATGAATATACCCACAGAGGCTGCTGACTCAAATTCGCAAAAGTTACTGTTAAAAACTAAATAAGCCTGGGAAAGTTCAACGAACAGCTGATTCGATGTCAAAACAGTTTCCACTAATGTAGTGACGTAGATTCGAGTAGTACAAGTAATCACAGCTAGATGGCAGTGCTAAAAAGCGATTTTACGCAACGTCCCGGTTTGACCCACCGTCCCGGGTTGCTCAACTTTCCCCTACAGTCTTCTGATCTAAACTTATCCTTAAGGCAGAAGAGTCGCCACCAATAGTATCACTAGTGACACACAAAACGATTTGCTCAGTGTTTTTGTAAAATATTAGTATGCCAGGGTCGCAAAGCTTTGCTACTAACAAGCAATATTCCAAAAACATACTTTTCCCGAAAACATCTATTTTTTTATAGCTCCCCCGTCGATAAAAGTTACATGCCACTTCAATAACTCGATTCAAAAGTTTTTCGCGATACATTTTTCAGCACGCACCTCGACCGATGTCGTTCATATTCCATCGCGAACAAGATAAATGTCATGCCTAAGAAATAGGCGCGAATAGAATCTAATACGTTTTATCGATCCTTCAATTACCGCCCGCTCAGAAAAGATGGATTGCCGAAGTTGAAAAATAAGTAAATCAATTTAAAGAGTTCGCCGAGCGCTTGATTTCAAAGATTGATTAGAACGGATATCTGAAACTATAGTAAAAAATTATAGTTCGTGGGAAAAATACTTCTCTGATTTATTAAAAACTGACAGACGCTAAAGTAATGCTACATGGTTGTTTACATAGAAAATCACAGATACTTGTAAGTTAAATAATACAGTGTTAGTCAATAAATTTTTGGCTTCATTTACAAACTGAAGAACATTGCCACCAATTGTAATCTGTAATTGATCTATAGTTGATTTTATATTTTTTTTGCACCAAATAACATTGCTGTAGATTTTTAAGTTGTGAGCAGTAGATATATTAATTAAAGAATTCAAGTCTTCATTAAGATGAAGACTTGAGTTGCCCAGCGACTCCTTGTCAAAAGATCGATAAAGCTGCGTATCGTCAGCATAGTGGTGAATCGCACAATTTTGAACAAAGCTATGGAAGTCAGAAATGTACAGAGCAAATAGGACTGGTCCTAAAATTGAACCCTGTGGCACCCCTTGTATTACTGGTAGGAAATTTGATATGTTGCCATCCAAAATTACTTTGTGAGTGCGATTACTAAGATAATTTGATATGAGGGAGACTGCATTTTTTGTAAAGCCGAAAAATTTTAATTTCTTACAGAGTAAGTCATGATCTAGGGTATCAAATGCCTTGCTGTAGTCGAGAAGAACCAAGCATGTTATTTTCCCTTGATCGGTTGCTTTAAAAATATCATCGCTAATAGACAGAAGAGCAGTTGTAGTGCTGTGATGGCGTCTAAAACCTGACTGATGTTGAGTTATAATGTTTCGGTGATAAACATACCCAGTAATTTGATCTTTGATAATTGCTTCAAATGATTTTGATAAAGTGGGTAGAAGGCTGATTGGTCTTAAATCAGAAAAACTCGTTGCCTGATTACACTTAGCAATAGGAACGATAAGGGCTTGTTTCCATGCAGAAGGATATTGGAAGGAGGAGATTATATAATTAAATATGAATGGTATATGATTAAGTAAACAGTCCTGAACTAGATGAAGCATACGCAATGAGATATTGTCTAGGCCTACGGCATTGCTTTTAATTCGATTAAGTGATTTTTCGACTATGCCTGACGTAACGGTTTCAAATTGGAATAAGTTTTGTGATTCTACTTCAGTGTACCGACCTAATAGTGATAATTGATCCGGAGATTTATAAGTCATAGGTGCAGAGTTAAAATGTTCATTTATAGCATTCACATTTTTTAGATTGTCAGGAATATCTGGGCTCGTTTTTTTCCGAAGGATTTCTAGGGATCTAAGAGTATTCCAGGTGTTTTTTGAATTTTTTGGCTAAGGACGAATTCAAGGTAAGCCTTCTTTTCCCGCCGTATAGCTCCGGTTGTGTAGTTTCTAAGTTCATTGTAACTTCTTAAAGCAGACATAGTTTTATTTTGTTTGTATTTTCTTAATGCTTTAGCTTTGAGGGAAATCATAATCTTAATTGTATCTGTAAGCCACGGAGCAGGTGGTTTATTTGCTATTTTAGTTACGAAAGGAGCATGTCTGGAGAATAGATGTATTAGAGAATCATTTAAAAAGGAGATCATGTTATCAACATTATCAAGTGAGTAGATTATATCCCAATTAATTAGATTTAAGTCTAAATTAAAAAGTTGTAAGTCAAACTTAGAAAAGTCGCGGTAAGTGATATATTTAGTTTTATTTTTCATAGTAAATGAATTAATACTACAAGAAACTGCTTGATGATATGATAATCCACGACCTTTTACATCAAATACTTCTACCTCAGAGATTTCTTTCACATCGGATACAAAAATAATATCTATAAGTGTTTCACTCCGTGGAGTGAAGTGAGTTGGCTCATTTACTACTTGTTCAAGACCGAAGGAATCTGAAAATTTATCACACAATTCATGACCTCTATTTTGTGTTAAAAAATCAATATTGATATCTCCTGATATAAGAAGAAAATCACTAGTTGGTAATAAATTAGCGACAATATCTTCCAATTCACCAATAAAGTCAACAAGAGAAGATGCAGGAGGGCGATATATAAGTTTTACCGCAACATTTAGTAGAGATCCAAAGTTGTTCTAAATTAGGAGAAATTTTAGAAAATAAAAATTTAAAAGGAATGTTTGAGTCGATGTAAAAAGCGACACCGCCACCTCTGCCATCTCTATCAGCTCTTATAATTTGGTAATTATTAATGAAAATATAAGCTGAGTCGTTTTGGGCGTTTAACCAAGTCTCCGTAACTCCAAATATATCAATTTTTTATTCTTTAAATATTCAGCAACTAAATGAAACGCAGGGAAAATAGATCCTACATTTAAGTGAGAAAATTTAACACTACTTAACATTAGATTTTAAAACAAAACGAATACCGAGGACGAGAAATTTCTAACAGAACAAAAGATAATATTAGATAAAATAGTATTAATCTAAAACCAATGATTTATAACACTTTCGCGTAAATATTCTTTCACAAAAATTTTTGAAAGATTACAATTAAAAAACTGGCTACATTAAAATGTGAAATAAAAATTAATAACTAAGGCAAAAAGCAACACAGATACATTGGCTTGAGATTTCATAGATTACTTACATATAGTCTGGGAGTAAACACACCGAAACGGAATTGAGGATGAGTGTTGTTGAATGCAGTCTTATTTCTTTCTAAGTTTTTCTTTAAATCCTATGGAGATAACAGTTTTATTTTTTGGAGTCCCTTGAAATGGTTGTTGACCTGTTCTGGCAGGATCTTTATCTTTTTTATTATTTACCACCGGAACAGAAGAAGCTGTATTTATTACTTCAATATGTTCTGCAGGTATATTGACTTCTTCTTCTTCTTCTTCTTCTTCTTCTTCTTCTTCTTCTTCTTCTTCTTCTTCTTCTTGATATTTGTTTTCCACAGATGGCGATTGCGGAGCACTATTTGAAGCTATTCTTCTTGAATTTTCTAGCACTTTTAATTCGTTTATGCTATATAATTGAACACCGATAAAAAGTTTATTTCCTTTAATATAACAATTTTTATTCGAGTTTTGTATATAATAGTTTCGACGTTCTCTTAGGTACTTACTTTCTTGCCTCTGTTCTGCGGTTAAGTCATTAACAATACTCCAAGATGTATTTTTTAATTTAGTACAGTTTTTTAATATTAGCAGTTTTTTATGATAAGTTACTATTTCAACTTTTAATGGGCTATTTGATAATTTTACTAGAGAATAAAGATCACTGATGTTCGATTCTATAAGATTAATACCCAAACGTTGACCAATTTCTGCACAAAAATATGCTATGGATCTTTCCTTTATTGGTTTGTCGATTCCAAATATCAATAAATTGTTTTTCTTCTGGTTTCGTTTTAGCAATTCAACGTGTTTCTTTAATTCTTGGTTTCCTTGTTCAAGATCACTTACTTTATTATTTAATTCTACAATTTTCATTAATACGCGTGTTTCACTTGCTTCTATGGAATTCTTTATTTCGCTTTTTAGGGTTGTTATATTTTGATTAATTTCTGCTTTTGTACTTACTATTTCAGCCAGAAGCTGCTTCAAAGTAACTTGATCATTGGTCATGATTTCATGTGTTTCTGTATTAATTTGTAGTTTAATACCCCGAACTATTATTAGCGATTTGGAAATGTCCGAAAACAACTAACTCACTTTTTGGGTATTGAATAAATATATTATTTTCATTATACTAAGCTGTTTGCACCCAACTTTGTAGAATTGTTATAAATTTTATATAGTTCATCCACTATTTCACTTGAATTTAAAACAAAATACAGAGAACACAGAAACGAACGTGTTGATCGAACGACGGCTAAAATATATTTCAATAGTACCCTTTGAGATCTTGGTGGGGATACTCAGAGCCTGGAAGAAAGATGTCTTTTCAGGACCCAATCCAGTGTTTTGTGCGGGAATAACAACAGACAAAGGAGCAATAGCACCAGCTCTGGCAGGAGCCTTAACTTTGTTTGTCCCTGATTTCAACTAAGTCGCTTCTGGTGAAGACAAAACCGACATTGCCATTGATGTGTGGCAAGATTTTTTCCAAAGCGGGATTGCGTTCAAGATGACCTCTGATCGCTTTGCGCATCATGGTATTTTTCCCCATAAGGTCCACTGCGCTACCCCGCAATGAAATACGGATTTGCTGCATTTTCTTCGAGCCGACATTGTCAGCGCCCACAATGAAACACTTTGGAAAGTCTTCCAAAAGTTGGATAAGTTTGGTGAAGTAGTTTGACTTCCAAGTTGCCTTGTCCTCCCTGTCTGTCTGTAGTCCAATAACTCCACCCACTTTCGATGACAAAAATTATTTTGTTACATTTATTAGCTATTTTACTAACTACAATTACATATTTATTAGCAGAAGTTTTTAAAATATTTCAAAATGCTTTATTATTAGGTAAAGTACACTTAAATTTAAAATAAGCAAATCTGTCTTTTGATAATGGTAGAGAATCTCTTTCTAAATAATTTAAAGACTATTGTGTTCAAAGGGGTATTAGTTATCATTTAACCGTGCCAAATACACCGCAACAAACTTCTCTGGCGGAACGTATGCACAGGTCAATTACAAAAAAGGCCCGATCAGTGGTACATGGTTCTAAGTTAGATATAATATTTTGGGGCGAAGCAGTCCTTACAGCAACATATTTATTAAATATAACACCTACTAAATCTTAAAAAAAAACACCTTTTGAACTGTGGCATAATAAAAATCCCAAAATAAATAATTTAATCTGCATATATTCATAATAAGGTAAAAAAAGATAACAAAAATGATGAACAAAAATCAAATAAAGGAATAATGCTTGGTTATCAATCAAATGAATATAAAGTATTAAATTCAAACTAATAAATTTATTTTAGCACGGGACGTCATTTTTGACTAAGAAATTTTGGAACATCAAACCCAAAACTTGATGAAGGAGTTTATAAATTAAGACTACAACTTAATTTTCTTTTATTAGATCTTCCATTGAACAATATATTAAATACATTAAAAAACTTTGTGTTCTTCTCTTTTCTTCTATAAAAACTGAATCTAAAAATTCTGCATGATATCGTCTATTAATAATTCCAGTTGAATATTATTTTTACGAAAATCTATTAAAGGAACATCATTTTACTCAAGCTTATTTTGATGCACTAACTTTATCGCTTACGAGTGACTTAACATGCGAGCATTCCTTTTTTTTATAGCAATCCCTAATTATATCTGGAATTTCCTTGCCACCAGAATGAAATACGACCATGTATCTATCTTTTTTTTTATTTATTCCATCTAGAAATTCATGAATGACTTGTAAGCTGCCAGATGTTCACATGTTGGCAGAATATAAATAGGTTTGTCCGAAATAAGCGCTGTATGAATGGGACATGTCTTGGGCTGGTGCAACTAATCAAAAAGGAAATGGTAAGCGTCCGACAAAGACGGAAATAATGGTTGCAGAGTGAAGTGAGGAAATCTATTCCTGTCAGCGCGAAGCTTTTCTGCATTTACAAATGATGTATCTAAAATTATGCACGAGGATGAACACCTGCACAGGGCGAGAGATATACCGGCTTAGATAATAAAGTTATTGAAATATGTACAGCGGGTAACATAATAATTTAATTTTAAAAGACAATGAAGTTTATAAGGTAAAAAGTGCAAAATTCTTTAACACCATGAAATATCTAAAACAGACACAAAACAAACACCTTGAAAATTATTATTTTTATTTCTGTTATAGGTTTAAATTATAGAAGGTATAAATTAGTAAAGTAATCGTGTAATGTTATTTTTAAACACGATTAGTAGATGAAAAACCCAATAATTAGCAGTTACTTACTTTGGGAAAGTCAAAAAGGATACGGATATTTTAACTGTTTTTTAATTTAAAGATTTGTCTTCACTGTTAAGAACTACTTAAGTGACCTTTAAACTGCTCTTCTTTTTTCATTTTATGGAAATTTTACTATTACGTATTTCTACACCTAGCTATACGACCTACTATGGTCAAATACTTTGAATCACCAATAAACTCCTAGCTCAGGAAATATGTTTTTCTCACTCACTTCCTTTTTCTTTGTTCTTGGTTGAAATTTGAAAATAAATTAGTAATATTGTGATGAAAGTTTAATTTATTTAAAGTTTATTTATTTATAAACACTATTTACAATTCTAATTTATTTCTTACACTTAAAACTTTTCAATACAATGTTCTATATTCAACTAATTACTATTTATCTTCACTGTCCATATATCTACTGATTCTGATGGCTCTCCTCCACCAATTTATATACAAATTGGTGGTCTAGAATGCTCCCCCACCAAAATTGCCAGTATGTACCAGAAACGTTATTACGTTCTAGAAATAGTATCTCGTTGACTCTGGAATGTTCGCGAAAGTGTCTCCACCATAGTCGTCCCATAGGTTTGGTCTTAAGGGGTTTAATTATGTATAATAATCGGACAAGTTGAGCCTCAAAGGCCAAATAAGACAGAGAGGGACTTGTAGGGTTAGAGCATGACTGAATAATGAAATGGCTCACATAACAATATTAACATCTATATCAAAACAACTATAAATATTATTAGTCTGAGTGGATTTACATAGTTGGGGATAAATAATACTTGAAAAGACCGCTTCTGATCTCCGGCCATTAAGTTTCCCTATTGAGTCTTACTAATAAGTCTCACCATTGAGTCTTGCAATTGAGATATTACTTGGGGCTGCTTGTAGAGCATTTTTCTACTCCCTAATTGCACATTGTCCCAACACCACCGACAGAATATTGAATAGGTGGCTGAAACCCACCTCTTCCTCTATACCAGGACCTAAAGATCGTATAATCCAGCTATTGTTACATATTATCTTTTACAAGAAAAAACTTTCCAATTATATTTGATAGTGGCTTCTGTGTGGGCCTGAATATAATCACTGCCATTTAACCTGCAGGCGGATTCATAATTAATGTTTTACTATACAAGTACTGCAACATATTTGTGTGTGAACCTTAGTATTACTACTTAGTTGTTCAAAACATATTTTGGTTTCTAATTAATATTATCCACTCGTCCAAATTAAAGATACTATAACCTACCTTGGTGTTATTATTGTGGTTACTCAGTATCATACATTTTATGAACCCATGCCACTTTCAGACTCATAGTGGTACTATAAATAGACAATCTTCGTATTATGAGGCAGCTTCGCACTCCTTTATTTTGGTTGTCCCCTCGGGATTGAATGAAAATGGTTATAAATTTCCCACATTTTTTTCCACTAAATGTGTCTGTAGAGTACTGCTTTATAATTAAACAAATTAAAAATTTTTAATATTCTTGAGACTCATAGTATTATTATTATAATTATTCCCAGTAGCGTGCATATAAATACCATTTTATATTAGAAAATCTATAAATTCCTTAAAACATTTCTGCTTTCGCGAGAGTCCCGTTTTTCTCTTGAATTGTCACAGTTAAACTAGACCTGTTAATAAAATAATATTCCAAGGTGGATCAGTAAGCTGAAAATATGAACCACCATTATGATTTATATGGATACTTAATTAATTAGTTGTAATAAAATAAATACTTTATATACATGGCGGTGTATTTTTGACGTAAGTTTAGTAATTTATTATTAAAAATTTAATTCTAAATATTTAACACCTTTTAGAATGGCTTTGATAATGGATTTGTAAATCTGAAAACGCTCAGCCTGATTTTAATAAAAAAGTTAATTTTAATGCCCTGATGTATTCGTCTCATTCCTCAACTTAAAATAATTTTAACTTTACAAACTCATAAAAAGGCTACTATCTGCAGACTTCTACTGTCTAGGGTGTGCCGATGACGAAAGGTGCAGAGAGGAGGAAATAACAGTATTCAATTTCATCAAACGAAAAGTACTACCAGTACTAAATTCACCAGTACTGAAAGGAGTAAAGATTCCATTTGCTCAATAGGACAAATGCTTGGGAGTCATCTTTGACCACAGGTTAACATGGAAAATTTTGATGAATATTCCATTATTACTATTGATCTTGATTTATTTTGATTAAAATTATTGAATTTATTCCGATAATAAAACATTATCTGTTCTCTATTGAGTAAAATTAAAATAATATACAGGGTGTATCAACGATGCGTGGGTGAACGATAGCTGCTTCCCTATATGAGATAGGAAAAAATGCTTTAAATAAAAATTGTAGAGGGCATTGAAAGCTACGTTCCAAAAATAACTACCAATATACAGGGTGTCCGATAAATGTATGAGTTATCGAAGTAATGTTTTTTTAAAGGAAACACCCTATATATTTTTACTCGATTAAATTTCTTTGGAAGAGTGTTTCTCAAAAATATAGGGTTGTATGGGTTTATACTGGGTGGTTAGGAATTTATGGTGGGATTTAGGTAACAAAATGGGTTTATTCAACATCAAATATCTCTAAATCAATAATTTGGAATAATTTTTTTTTTCTGCCGAATATTCTCAAAAATAGTGTATTTTCATTTCCTATTCATAATTTTACCGAATAGCGCTTTTCCCATACAGGGGCAACCAAAACTCGGGACCACTTTTTTCTCAGTTTTTTCAAATGGAATACCCTGTAAATGAGACCATACCAGGATAGCCCATACTATGAGCTTTCAGAAAATGTAGGGTTTGCCTACTTGATTTTTATCGGAAATGTATCTAATTCTTAAGGAAAGTATAAAAAAGTTATAAAAGCATTAACTATTTATTTATTATAAACGAACAATTATTTAAAAAAGCGTATATTCACAGCAAATGTTTAAACAATCTCACATTTTAAGCTATGCCCGAATTAATCATATCTACAATTGCTCTTCGAACTTTCATTAAAGTTGATCTTGTAATACAGCGAAAAATCAAATCACCCTTGAAACATTTGAACGTTATAGGAATTTGACATTTAATTATCGAGGAGGAGAATAATTTATAGTTGAAATTTAATAATTTTTCGCTTCAAAATTAAATTATCCACCGAAGAAATGATAAATATGATCTACATTTTGGGTGAGTGTGATAGAAATTGTTTATTAGCCAGTAGAATATATGCAGTTCGATACCCTGATTCAAGGTCTGTACGACCAGAGACTTTTCGGAGGGTTAAAGAAAGATTTAACGAAACAGGCAGTGTCAAGCACGAGAAAAGGCAAGTAGTAAACAAAATTGCAACAAATGAAGAAAATGAATTAGCGGTGATCCTTTCAACAGTAGAGAATCCTCATGTTAGTACGAGGGAAATTGCAAGAGAGCTGGATATAA